ACCCAAACCAAACGTAACGTACGACGTATAAAACTACTACCACACTAAACTATACTATATATATATATATATATATATATATATATATATATTGTTAGGTGACCAATTATAATTCATTTAAATCAGCAATCAGCATGTAGTTGATATTAGCAGTCCAACAACTGTTAAAACTGTTGATTTTAATTTAATTATTTCAATTTATTCTCAATTACCAACTGTATACCTATATTTGGGCCACCCTGTATGCATGTGTGTGTGCATGCGTGTGTATAATTTATGGTAATCAAAAGGTCATTGTATTTGCCAAAATACTAGTACATTAAGTTTCAAATTTCTACTTTGTAGGCCAGCTTTAGTATATAATTATAAGTTTGTCTACTAAGTGTGTGCTATTATTCTACTCAGCTGAAAAATGCACGTCTCAGAACCTTTTGTTTTACAATTATATTATAAAATATATCAATAAATTTAGCATCAAACCATAATTTAGAGTTCAAATTTTAAAATAAGTTAATTTCTTAACCTTAAAAGGAAATGTTTAGTATCTCAATCTTCGCTAACTGTACCAGGTGATGTAACCGGGTACCATATTGCCAATTTTTGATTTTTTTCATTCTACTCCTTGATCTTGGCACAAATTACTTATCTTACAGATATTGCTAAGTCATAATGAAAATTTCCTTCCAAACTCATTGCTTTATTAAGAGAGTTTCACATGCTTCTCAAACCAGGTTGAAAACAGTATAATGGCTCATGCCATGACTTGTTTTATTGCCCATACAGATTACTGCTATATATGACAAAATAAAAACAGAAAACTTACTCAATAAAATAATAAAGGTTTGAATTGTGAATATAAAAAATTTGTATCTTTACTGTGAATACTGAAAAGGAAAGAACTGTGTTAATATATTCCATGCTTTTAAACCATTCTTTTCATTATACTTAGATGCTGTCTCTAAAGACCCTGGACTTAAGTATACTGTTTATGAAGATAAATATACAGATAAAATATACAATGTTACAAAAACAATCATCAGAACAACCACACTACAAATTAGAACAAATACCAATTTCTGGATACAGCTCAGCAATAGAAAATCCAAAAATTAAAGGACCCCCTACATCAAAACATACCAATAAATATCCAGCAAAGATCAAGGCTTAGAGATCAATTGCCTTGGAACCCCCTTTAGAAAATACAGATGCAACGATAACATCCTATAACAAGCAACTGACACACAGTTACTTATGAAAAGAAATTTAATGCCTCACATAAGGAATATATATATATATATATCAACAAATTCCTTGCATCATTGCAAGTTACCAAGAGTACAAGAAAACATGAGAGGTTAATAAAGCATTTTGTATGAATATGAAAAATATTGCTTGCCTCCCACAAGTGAAAATCAGTGTGTGATACAGTTTATGTGTACTATTTTCTGTGAATATTGCATAATAATATATTTCTACAATTTATAATACAGTTAAATACACATGAATTTTTAATAAGTTCACCTGACCACGGCTTCTTGGAGATATGTGAATTCACTAAACTGTTTTCATACCAGAAACATTTTTGAGATACAAAAGTCATGTTACCTTTGTTTTATATAAATTGTACATTTGAACTCAACTTCCACATTTATTCATACTACTTACTAATTTTGAAGATTATTTTTTGGTTTAATTTAATTTTTGATATTCTTCTATAGCTTCTATAGTTTATCATGTACTGTTTGCAGTACATGATAAACACAGACACACTACTGTAACATGCTTAAAAAAACAATGCTAACGTGTCAAACTTAGAAAACTTTTATGACACAGAAAGAGGCTTGAAAATAAATGTTTACGATAAACTTTTACAGTTGATTATTTAGGCAACAAATCTCCCTTTTTTCAAATTCCAAGACTTTCAAGACCTTGAAAATGACATTCACAATTCCATGATAAGTTCTGCCTTTCACATTTCATAGATACCTCATCTTTTATAAATACAGATTTGTTAAAACAAATTCCACAAAACTAGAGTGATCTGGAAATCTTCTGTGTCAAGAATTAAACATCCATATATAAAAACAATTTTAGTGCTAAAGTACTAACACTCCTTTAAACTAATATCAAGATAAATCACACTACATTTTGAAACCTATGTAATCAATAATGCATCCTACCTGCTTGAATTTTTACTCTGTGGAGTTTGGATGTGAAAGAATCATTTACAGTGAATGTATGCATTGGTTCTGAAAAAAAATAAAGAAACAACATAAATAATTTAATATACAGGCTAAACATACACACAAAATAAGAAGTACATGAAATACAGCAAATACTTTTATTTACTTAACAGTCAATGATGATGCAGATTATTATTATTATTTGTAATTAAGCACAAAGTTACACAAAGGGCTATCTGTGCTCTGCCCACCACGGGTATCGAAACCCGGATTATAGCATTGTAAGTCCGCAGACATACCGCTGTGCCACTGGGGGGCATGATGCAGATTATTAATAATTATACAAAATTGATATTACACTATTATACAAACTATACTGAACATCAAAGCCTTTCCCAAACACCCATGAAAATTTCATAGTACAGTTGAGAAACCAGGACACATCAAATTAGGCTAACTGATAGCTATGCTTCACAAAATCCTTTTTTTTTATACTTGAAGGTTGTAACGTGTTTTAGTATTACACCAGTTTATAGCATGTGCACAAGAAATTTGTAGACAAATTATTAGAAGTAAGTGCTGCTATTGGTATTGACAAACTTGAAGAAATTACTGTTAACTGTGTTTCATAAAATTTAATTAACAATGTATTATATATAACTTACCTATATCTTTTGTCTTTGGGTTTTTAATTAGAATTCTTTGAGTTGCTTTACCCATAGCTAAAGACTGGAGGGCTCGGATGAGATCTTTTTCAGGAATATCTGTCTCACTAATTATTTCCTAACAGAATAATACATTAAAGTATTACACCAAGTTTTTAAAAGAAAAAAATCTGCATATTGATAACTTAAGTGCAAGAGCTGGAACATAAGGTTTTTAAAAATCCATGAAAATCCTGGTAAATAAAACACATGATGAATGATACAGCTGGCATTCCTCTGGTCACATATAGAGGGTTTATATTAAAAGACCTTGAAAATTACTACATATTATCAGAAGTAATCTAGAATTTGGAGTTTTTGCATTAAACTACAGAAGACACTATCTGTGAATAGCCATCCTAATTATAAACTGATGGGCTAAAGGAAAGGCAGCTAGTTATCAGCACCCAGAACCAACACGTGATCCAACCTCATCTAACCAAACAGTGGGACTTGAATATAACTCTTGTAGCACACTGCTGAACCCAAAATAGAGAGCACTTTTGCTGCAACAAAATTCAAATGATGAACCCTTGGATTTGCAGTCCATGAAAGCTAACTACCAGGCCATGTGTAGCCCCACTTACTATATCCACAGCATCAAACACCATAGAAATGTACAAAGAACCTCATGTAATCCCTATCTTTATAAGCACTGGAATCAGTATGGATGGGCAAGATACTAAATAAGCATAATACAAATGTGTGCACTAAAAAACCAAAAATGACAGAATTTTACTTCAAAAGATGATTGCCACTTGCTTTCATTTGTTTCTCTACCCAACAAGGCAAAAAACCATCACTAAGATACCAAACCAGAAAGTTACCAACCCACCAAATTGTTCACATTTCTTCTCATTTCAGTCAAGATAACTTTACAACTACTTTGTCGTCAACTTTAGCTTAAACCAAAATCCACTCTAGATGTTTCTGGGCAGTGCACTATATCATCGCTCAGTTGTAATAACTAGTAGTAATTAAAAAAAAAAGAATTATAATGTAAGCAATGTTATCATTACCCCTTGAGGTTAGCTTTCATAAAGAAATCTGATGTTCTTTTAAAACAGCTTAAGTACAGGGTGAGACAGGAATTACCAGCCAATAATAGATGAACATTAGATGACTGCAACATTTAGATTATTCAATGCTTTGCCAGGCAGGCAGTAGCACTGCCTAAGTAGGGATGGCTAGAATTGTTCAACTCATATCTCCTCAATAGGTCACCTGAACTAAACAGTGTTTCCTTTTATAACAACATCTATATAATGACTGAGTCACAAGTTCTGGGAATGTCTGTAAATATCACAGCACAAAGTTTAAATTTCTTGTTCTTCTTTCTTCTTCTTTATTACATGTTAATTCAAAAACCAAAACAATGGTGTCAACCAACTTCAGTGAGGTGACATAGTTTCAAATGGAGTATTTGCTTTTGTAAGTATCATTAACTGGTAGTAATTTAAAAAAAATTATAATTCCAGTGTAAATGATGTTATCATTCCCTCCTTGAAGTTAGCTTTCTAAAAGAAATTTGGTGTTCCTTTAAAAAGCTTAAGTACAAGGTGAAATAGGAATTATCAGCCATTAATAGATAAACAATACATATCAGAGTTGAAACCTCATTGTATTTAGAACTTGGTTATAAATACAAACTTCCCATGTCTATTGAAACACTGCATTAAAACAAAACAAGTAAAGAAAACACTTTTCAAAAAAGGAAATAAATGTGGGGATGGCTAATATCAATCCTTCAAAGACAATGCAAACAAGATAGTAAGGATGGTATTTGCATCATCCCTATATAATAGCACAGACAAGAATTAACATATAGCAATATATGTATAACTATTCAATCAAAATTGAGTTTAATTTATCCTATTTTTGCCTGTTAACATTCTACTACACTGTGTGCCTGTGCCCTTATGTAGGGATGATGCAAATGCCATCCCTACTATCTTGTTTGCATTGTTTTTGAAGGATTGACATTAGCCACCCCTACATTTACGTCCTTTCTGAAAAGTTTTTTTCTCTACACGTACACTATACAATCGGTGTGAACCCTATATTACGTATGAAGTGAAGG